TGAGAGCCGCGCGCAGCCCGCAGGGTCCCCGAGGCCGGGCCGCGCCCGCCGCCACCGGCCGGGCCGCGCTGCCCAGCGCCGGCTGCTGTCCCCTCCCTCCTGGCCGCAACTCCTCCTCCAGGCCTCGGCTGCTCCTTCTGCTGCTCCTACTGCTCCAGGACGCTGGAGCCCAGCAAGGTGAGTAGTGGCCAGCGCCGGTCGGCCTCCCGAGGCTCTTGGCTGTAGAAGGAACCTGCGGACGAACCCAGAGATGCAGAGGCACACACTGGCGAGACGGATGTGTCGGGGAGAGGGGGGATGCCGCCTGGTGTCCCAAGTTTGTGTCGCTTTACTTTTCCAAAGCAATGCCATTCATTTCTTTGAAAGAGGGACGTGAGACCCTGCCATGGGGCCTCTTTGCTATCTGTCTCCTTCGGGACTGATGGACGGAGTAGGAAGCAAATTAAAAAGCATCTTGAGCTTATCAAAGACAGGCAGTGATTCCCATTCTTAGGGATGGTGCCCAGGTTCTAAAGCGAATGAAGCTAATTGCAGTGCTCTTTCTTGGGTTTGCAGTTCGTTCTTCAGAGCACCTGCACATTACCGAGGACGGTGGTTTGTAGATTGACTTGATCAAACACAGAAGTGGCCCAGAGGAGTCCACTACCAAAAGGGCAAACTTCTCAGAAAGTGACAAAACTTTTTTCCTTCTACAGTCCCATTCCAGAAGCGAGCAAAACTGTTGGTTGATAAATCATCACAATGGAAAGAGAATACAGGACTGAACTTTTCAGTGTTGCTTCTTCGGGCAGCGTACTACATTTTGTTTGGCATTAGTTTTTCCATGGCTTCTCTTGTTACTAATTGCTAGGGAGAGTTTCTTAAAATACATTTTTCATGTATAAATTCAGCTTCCCGCTGAGTGCACGTTTTTGTCAGTAAGGAGTATCTTCAAGGTCATGGGATTGTCTTTGAGAAGGTGCCTCAGTCCATCGAAATCTCTAAGGGAAATACGTAAACTGTACTCTTTAATAGTCACATTTAAACTGAGTAACCTAAGGTGTAGATGTGTTGCAGGCAGATTTCAGTCAGCGCTTACTATATTGGAGTGGGGAAGCCTCTCAAGTTTTGGCGTCTATGCGTGTGTTTTTCTTCCTCATGGTGGGGAGACAGACTTATATGGCTACAGAAGCTTAGTGTGTGGGAGGCCCGGGACTAAGTGGTGTGTGTAAATCAGTGCATTTAACACACAGCTCGGTGAGATAGTTATCCCATTTCCAACAAAGGGAAACCGAGGCGCAGTGAATGCAGCGTATTTTAATGTAGAAAGGAATATTATTTAAGCAGTACACTCCTGCGTCTGAACATTTTTAGATGGCTTACATCTAGAAATTTAAAACAAATCTTTAAGTAATAAGAATCAGCTATGTAGGACACCATTGTCTTTTGGAGTATTCATTCCCAGATTAATGTAACATGCAACATTATCTTATTTTTAATGATTTTGAATTATTTTAGTCAGCATTGTAACAGTATATTTGTCTCCCACTGCCAAAAGATATCAAAACAAATAGAAATAATATTAGAGATCTTAAAAAGACATGATTTTTATTTCTTCAAAATTGTGTGGTTTTGTTTGTTTAATACCTTTGTATCAATTTTCTGTCTTGTTTAAATGGGAATGCATATCTCTTTCATAGATTAAGAAAATGAACCAGTAGCACACAGCTTTATAAAGGGAAAGCATAATGTATTTATCAGTTATTAAACACAAGTTCCTAAGTTAGTAAATTAAGGGCTAGTTTGTGAGCATCTGAAAATTCAGAAATTGTATGAGAGGTGAATTCCCTAATTTTTGAAAATCTCTCACTCTGAGGGCCCTATTGCTGCTTGCGGTGAAATTTCTTTGAAGCCAGTCTTAACTAGGATAGCACATTCCTTCTGGGTCAGCTGACATTCCCTCACACAAGATGGGAAACTCTTACACACCTACAGACTCTTTAATATGAAAATGCCCACATGTTCCAAGGTAGAATTTATACTCTCCTAAGCCTTGGGAAGAAGATTGCAAGGAATGATAAAATCTTATCAGCTGTCTTTGAGTGGTAGAACTGTGGCTTGTTCCTTTCTACTTTTCCAAATGTCTGCTATTAGTATGTAGTTATAATAAAAAGTAAATTCAAGAAAATAGCTTTGCTGAGTCAGTCTTGCCCCAACCAACCCAGGTAAAAATGTATTTCGTGTCTATGCCAGTGTGTAAGTGCATTTTTATCCTCCTGACAGTGTTTGAAAATGATGCTATCTGTTGCCTTTGTTCTACTTAAAGCTGCACGTAGCTCTTTCTCAGCAGATTTCCTGCTGAAAGTGATTTTTCTTTCTACTTGGCTTAGACTAAAACTCATGACGTTTTTAAAAACTTAATCCTTCACAATGATGTATCATATCTAACTAGTATTCTTTAAATTCATAAGTAGATTTGGTTTATTTACATCTATTTATAATACAGCAGGCATTTTAGATGTAGCTTATATACATGAATTCTAAAATTCATGGTGAGTTCACCTTCAAGTCTTTATATTAAGTTTCAAATCTTTATATTAAGTTCCTTTTCAAAACCTTTTAAGAATACACATCTTTTTAACCAAACTGAAATGACTGGAGCTTAGTTTGATCGCATAAATTTTCATAATAAGCAATTAATACTCTACTGTGAAAGAATTTCTATCTCTAGTTTACATTATGCCTAGGAATTTGGGTCACCTCATCTCAGTAACCCAGCTTCCTCATTTATATTACAGAAGATTTGTCTACCTTGGGGGGGGGGTAGAATGTGACTTGAACATGATATAATATCAAGAAATTAATTTTTAAAATCCATTAAGAGTGATTTGTTTACAGCTATTCATATGACGTGCTGTCAAGGGTATTGATTTTGAAATTTAATAACCTATGAAACAGGTCAGGCTGATTCTTTGACAATCTTTTCAGTTAGATAGTGATATTTGTAGTTTATGCATGAAAAAGTTTTATTCTGGTAAGCAATACATTGGCTTGTGTGACACTAAGGAAGTTCAGTGTCTACAGATTGTAAGAAATGATGAACTTCCTTTTAAGCAAAGAAACATTTATAATTACCAATATTACGTAGATTTAGAATTTTCTGTCTTTTCTTGATTTGACAAACGTTCAACACTGGCAAGCTTGCAATCATAGCTCTTGACTGAAGAAGTCAGTATAAATGTAAGACCTGAAATGGTGGCCCTGGATTAAATACATAAAAGTAGACAGGGGCTATTTGGAAGGGTGTGGAAGGCTGGCCACATATGAGGAGGGATAGATAGTCCCACTGCCCAAATGTGACTGCTGAGACAGGAAGTGAGGCAGGCTAGCAGCTTTTCTTGTGGGGTTCCTGCTTTGGTTTTGGACAACTTGCTCACAACTTTACAGCCACTATACTTCTTATATATATCTTAGAAAATATTTTACGGAAGATAATGTTAATGTAAAGCAAAACTCTCAGATGATAATTATCCACAGTTGTCTCTTTATCAGTTTTTCATTCTCCCTTCTATATTCACATAGTTTCATGATTTTTTTTAAATATTTATTTATTTATTTTATTGATGAGTACACTGTAGCTGTCTTCAGACACACCAGAAGAGGGCATCCAATCTCATTACGGATGGTTGTGAGCCACCATGTGGTTGCTGGGATTTGAACTCAGGACCTCTGGAAGTGTAGTCAGTGCTCTTAACCGCTGAGCCATCTCTCCAGCCCGTTTCATGATTTTTTAACACAGGCAAAAATATTTATAAAATACTGCGAATTATGAAATGTAAAATTTTGTCACAAGGAATTCACTTTTTAGGAAGCTATCACATCACTTAGATTTGCTTTTTCAGTATTTTCTTTTACATTTTATTAAATTTGTCATTCAGGGGAAAATTTTTAAGAAAGTATTTCACTTCAAAATGTTAGCTTAATAATGTATATCATGATAATCTTCCAGGTCATTACTTAGACTAAATCAGCATGTTTCAAGAGCATGGGAAAGTATTCAGATAAACTGGTTTTAGTGAAAGCCAGTATAATGGTGACAATTGTGACTTTTAAAAGTTACCGAACTTCGCTTGCTAAATCAGCCCACAGTCTGAAGACAGTGTTTGAAAAATAGTGGTCCAGAATTCTCTGCACGGCTTTTGTTAAGTAAAGTACCTTTACTTTTGGGTTAAATTGTATTGTTTGGGACGTGGGAGGAGTTAGTACTCTGTTGTATTTTCATCAAGAACCGTGAGAGTGAGGATAGCTATCATGCACTCTCAGGAGAATGTTCATGTTTTGGAGGAGATAAAACATCACATTGTCTTTAGACACTCCACGAACAAGTTGAGCAAGTAATTATGTTCCACTGGAGTGGCGGGTACAGTGGTACGGATTAAAGGAGACATTTTACAATGCCTGGGGAAGCAGAAGCTTTGCTGATGAGTAGTTTTAGGTGGCTGGGCTTTGCAGGATTGGCAGATGTTTGAGAAGTGGGGATCGTAGACTCAACAGAAGGGAGTCAAAAGCCTACCCTCTTACACTGTAGCAAGCTTTGGCCAGTGCCCCTGCCATCACTCTTCGAGTGCTGTACCCTTTGCTTCTGCCTAGTCAGTTGACAGGTACCAGTTGACGGGTTACTGTGAGTCAGCCCTGATCCAATAGAGTAGAATATTGTTCTTCATAGTGACTTCCCTAGCATCTGTCATCAGCTCCTGTATCATTTACAGGATGCTGTCCAAAGGTTCCCCCCCCCCACACACACACACACACTTGCCACTGGTTCTTCCCTTGGTCTTTGTCCTCACCCCATACTAGCACCTGTCGATACTTTATAGTTGGGGAATAAGACTGGGCTACTTTGTATTTCACTAAGCAATTTCAGGACGTTTCATTTTGGTGTCTGTACTGATATCTTTATATAGCAGTATCCTGTATTCATACCTCCACCCTTACTTTTCTTCTCTTAGTAATCATACTTGAAAATTGCCAAGCATTGTTCTTAGGAGAGTTGTGTAAGCATCTTCACCCACTCACATCCAGGTTGGATTTTCCATGCTGGATTGAGTATCATGTATTTTACCGTGCTGTCTGCTATGCTGAATGTTTGTAGTAACCCCATTTCTGCTGCAGATCTGTTGTCTCAGCACACTATTTAG